CCAAACCACACCCACTCTCCAGGACTAGCTGAGTCTCCTCCATCACCTTCCTCTCTGCTCCTTATTTGTTCCTCTTTGTACTAACTTTGTCTCTTACTGTTGTGCTATTTGAGAACCTGTCTAGAGTGTTAGAATATTGTATATGATAGACACAATATTAACTATACCAACAATGACAAAATGCAGCATTCCATTATAAAACAAAGCATTATAAAGCAATACTGTACTAAGAAAGTGGAAAAAAAATTAAATTTTATTCATTTAATTTTCATATTTAACACACGATGTAGCAGTAAAACCACGCAAGTGTAACTTGAGGTTTTTGTTTAACTTAATATTTTAATGAAATTGACCAGAGCCAAAAATTCCATCAAGCTTCTTCTGAATTATAATCTTTCTTGCTAGTAATTAAATGCCAGGCCTCTGAAGAAGATAAGAAATAAATTCCTAAGCTCTGTCACATGAGGGAAAGGAATTTCTCTGTTAATTACTTTTTACTGACACCAAGACTCTAAGCACCCTAAGACAGTCTAGGAAATTTTAGAATACGATTAACCAAAGGCAGAAGGTGGAAACCACTTTGAAATCAGATAATCGCCTAGTGCTTAATCCAGTTTATTACTTACAAAATTTAGTATAATCTAGCTTCTCTTGTCTCTTACAACTAACTATAGAATGTCTATGTACAAAATCTTACAGATTCCATATATGTCAATATGGTTAGGTCAGAACAGAATCTACAGCTCCTGCAGATCTAATTCCCAAAAGGAAAAATCAAGATTGCTCCAGCAGAGCTCTCAGGACAACATTTTTCTATCAGAGAAAAGTACAAACAATGTTTAATGAGCTAACTGTTTGTGGCTTCACCCTTCCACAGTCATCTACCGTTCTGTTCCCTTGAGCAGGGAGATATAACATTTTAGCAACATCTCTGCCTATAACCTTGCCTTCCAAAAAGCCAGCCTTCATGAAGTAACCCTCGTAAGGGTTTCTGCATTCTCACAGAGGCTACATCTACCTACTGTCAGGGATTTTTTTTCCTTCTGTCCCAGCTGGAGTCAGTTTCACTA